TTTGTGCTACTACTTATAATAATAATTATTATTAATTAAGTAATCTGTTTGTTTCCTAGGGTTGGGAACTTTCTTTGTTTTTACTCATAAATAATAATATTTACTTCATTTAACATTATTTCATTATATATTAAGCTGTGAAATTATATACATACACACAAATATCCTACTTGAAAACAAAAATAACAATTTTCGTACACTATCTTTCGTTCATGAATTCTCTTATTCTCATTATCTAATACTCGCTACAAATCCCTCCCATTTTTGCATACATGGCCAAATTCCCTTGTCATTAATGTAGAAATTTTACTGTAATACAAAACTTGATAATCCTGCAATGGCAAATACAGATAAAAATAAATGTTCCCCGTTTAGCTACTTTCCTTCCAGAGATCCATCGCAATCTCGAATGTCGTCCAGTTTCCATTCAGCCTCAATTTCCAAAGAATTCGGTCCACTCAAATGATGTTCACGTCCTCCACACACACAATTATATTTCCTCTTCAAATGTATATTTACTACCTCAAAACATCGCCTTTACAAGGTCACAACGAAGTCTAATTCTTCCCGCAACCAAACAGCTTTCCTTTTACTCTCTCACACCGTGTCAGAACATAGTCTCGTTTTTTCATCTCGCTTCATCTGACTCTCATCTCATATGATCTCACTCCTGATTGGTCACATGTCCTGTCACTGCATTATTTATTAACATCATATGTATTTTCCCCACTATCAATTCTGTTGTCCTTTCCTTGTATTGTTTCCAAAATAAAGCTCACCTCGTTTTTTTCTATACCTCCATTGTTGCTATCGTCCATATTTATAATTACTAAATTTATTATTATTCCCATTTATTTACATTTGCGACAACACATCACACAACTTGAGAAGTACAATTACGTGATTCCTACTGTTAAAAGTTATAAAATAGTACCAATAAAAGGAAAGGTATTTTGCCAAACTTCCGAGCTCAAGTGGTAACAATTGAAAATTTTACATGTGTTACTAAGAAATAAATAAATTAATCAATACAGAATTAATTAAGTACACAGAATGGGTCACTCTAGGGATTTTTTCATCAATGTTTCCCTTGACCTAAATGACTCTTCCCGTGGCTCTACTGGAAATAATAGTCGTACGTTTAAAGTATAAGGGTTAACACAGGCATACTAAAGATTCAACACAAATGGGTAAGTGATAAATAGGCTATTTTTATTTCTCCATTTTAATTAGGTATTAAAATAACATAACACATTTTATTCAACTTTTATTTTTATGACACAATTCTTTAAAAAAATAATGGGAAGTATGAACTTGCTTCTTCATCAAGTTGTTCAAATCTGGGTTCAATATTTGAAATTGCGACTTGCAATTCTTTTTTGATGTTTAATTTCAATCACAATCAAACATTGGGTGGACACAGCTTGTGTGGGTATGGGAACTCTTGATCTGCATGGGTAGAAAGATTAAATAGCCCCTATGCAAACTAGGAATATACGTTGAGGCTAAAAGAGCCACAGAAGCCTATTGGTAAAGGACTTGCCAGATTTAATTAATCCATAATTAATTTTAAAAAATCTTGTTTATTACAAATAACATATACGATGACAGTACAAAATTATTTTGTGGACATAAGAGGCAAAAGGATTCAAGTAAATCTAAAGATAAAAAGATTCATCAAAATGTAAAGATTATTTTTAATAAATCACCACAACACCTCTACCATATCGCCAGAGCACACCCAGGAGCCGATATGCACTTAGAAAACCCTTGGTATACAACAACACATCTGAAACTCTATATACAGGATTTTGTTGAATATGTCATGAGATTGTGAAACCTCTCAAAGAAAATTAAACTGCTATTTTATTTTTCTCTGTAACCCTTTTAACTTTGTGTATCATTATTGGCAGTACCTTCAATATAAGAAGAAAGAAAATTACACTGAACTAACTACAATAGATCAGATTGTAGCATGATCTTAATCACACTATAAATTTAATTATGTCATTAACTGTCTACCCTTCAGAATTCAAAATATTGGCAAGGTAACCGAGTGTAGTATCATTTTTACTTTTGCCAAATGAAAAGTTAGTAAGATTGTGTTTAAATATAATGGGGACAAAATGAAAATACTCACATCTTCTGCATCGTTTTCTACCTTCAGCAAACACTGCTCTGGACTGTTTTGATCTTCCTACAAAAATACCACAGAGGTCATTAAAAATATAGCTGCTACAAGGGACGAAAGTGTAAATACATCTCAAAAGACAGAAAGAGATGAAAATAATTTTACAAATCATCTGCATTCCATCTGATTCCCTATCATGATGTGCTATTTGTGAATGTGTTTTTATCACTTTCTTTGTAGAAAACATGCTAAAATGACAAATTTAGAACATACTTTCTTTGAGATAACATTTATGTTAGTTAAACAACTTTGTGACTCACTTTTATGCTAACATCAGTTTGTTAAGATTTCCAAATCAGAAACAATTCTCTAGTTAGAAAGTTATTACGACAACACAATAAAAATAAAGTCAGAAGTGAGAACATCACACTTAATTCTTCAAGCAGTATTTTATAAAATGGAATGAGAGATTCAAACACTATTCTACTTCATAAGATAAACAAGGAATTCCCTGTGAAGCAGGAAAGGAAGTTCTCCTAGAACTGCTGTTGGAAGACACACTTTTCTTAAACCAAAGGTTGAATTGCAATTTTATGGCCTCGAATTACAGTTTTTTGTAGGTTGTACAGAAAAAATCCCGAATTGAAAAATGACCGTTATTGAGATATTTGGTCACATTACATAAGAATATTTATATTTAATAAACCTTAATGTTCACAGTTTTTGTTAGACAAATTTTCTTGTATTTTATATATAGTATATGATTATTTGAATTGTGAATTCCATAGAAAACTTATAAATATCAAAAACTAATTTGCATAAATAATATGGATGATCAATCCACAGGTGAGCAGCATAAGTCAATATATCACACCTCCAATACAAAAGTGACACAAGTGCAAATTTCTGATTTCTCAGAAATTGCAATTTTAAGTATCGTAGTTCTGTAATACTCGTTACAGATTGTACCAAATATTCACCTTCTAGCGGACAGTAATTGAACTAATTCAAAATCAACTTCAGAATAGTAGCAGTACCTCTTAGTAACCTCTTATCAGCTTTTAACTGAAAAATGACGATTTCGCACTTGTGTCACTTTTCTACTGGAGGTGTGATATAATTCAAATTTGTTGTCCTCTCTTCAGTAAAAAAAGCAAGTACAGACATAAAGCAATCAAGAAGAAACAACATAAATAGTTCTGATCCATGGTACATCCGTGTTTTACATGGCCACATTGACACAGAGGTACAACTTCAATTTCTAACAAAGAATCAAAACAGTTTCAGATGTTCTGGTTACAATGAACAGTTACTACTGACAGTCTTATGTACAAGGTCTAACCTAACCTTAAAGGCAAACATTGAAATCATGTACATTTTAATCTTAGTTGTTTGAAAAATATTAATGTACACACAAAAGTCTTTAGTTTCTTGTTTTTCGATGTTCCTCATGCACAACTACCAAAAAAGTTCACATGTTGCTACAACTGCTATAAAATACAACTCACAGTGTATTTCCAGAGACTCTCTTCTTGATAGTCACACACTTCTTCTTTAATCTGGGGATAATTAGAAAATAATTCTTTAACATTGTTCACAATACAAGTTTTAACTATAAATCAAATATAAGACACAGCCTACCTTTTCTATTTTGATTACACTCTCCGCTAAAATATTTATATTGTCCATTATTATCACAATCCTGTCAGCAAGAAATTCACAATTTTTTGAAATAGCCTCCCTAGTGCAACAATTTTTACCACTTGCGAAACTTTTAACTTAGTATGGCTGTGTACTTAGGTCTACTATAACTATTATTTTAATCTCGCAATCAGTGTCTTGCATCAGTGTTGCGCTCTCAGGGTTGGCCAACAAACTACTAAACAATTATTTTCTTTCGATTCTCATGGAATCGGTATTTGCACGGTGAACACTAGTGTCATCGGTGTGGTTATTCATGTGAATTTTTAAGTATTGTTTTGTAGTGAAATTCTTTCCACAAACGGAACACTGGAAAGGTTCTTTTCCAGTGTGAATTTTCATGTGCCTTAACAAATAGAACACAAAACGTTTTCTCCCGAGTGCAGGAATTTCCTTCGTCTGCTAACAAAAAATGCTTGTATCAGACAAACTGGAAAGCTTAGAAGCAATGGAGATCGGGACATTGGACATTTTTTGTAGGAAAAAGCTTAAACCGTAGCCTTGAATTTTGGTAATCCAGCGGCTAAAGTCCTCATACACAGAAAGTTCACGAGAGTTGTAGCTCCTTCACAATTTATATTAAATTTTAACAACAAATCTGAATTATACAATGTCTTCAAAACTACTAATAGTTTAATATTCAGAAACATATTTAAATTATTGATGTACTGTTTACATAACGTAAATCCAAAGAAATAGTGTATTTTGACGAAGAAATATTTTTATTGGTTTAGAAGCAAACAATTCCTCAGTGAACGCTCTATATCATGCCAGTTACACAGTACTTACAACTGACATGAAATAAAGCATCCACTACACATTGATATGTTTGCCCCCTCAAAACCATACATGTAATTTAATAAAAGAGGTGGTTTATCATTATTGAAAACGAAAAATTCAAATTGCACTTTTATTCTTTACTAATATATGTATATATTTATGTATTATAGTATTTTACCTGATGATGGGTCTACAATGGGGCCACTACGTTGTGAAGTGATTAAAATATTTTTAAAAATTGTCTTTGTACAATTATTGAGGTGCATAAATGAAAAGGAATAGCAATAGTGACATGCTCATATAATATAAACAACAAAACAAAACAGGACCTTCAAGTTATTTCATAAAATATATACATCTGATTGGATCAGATCCACAATGGTATAAGAGATTTTAACTAGTGGTGCTACAGAATGGCACAGACTTTTCCGTAATACTTTTTGTCTATTTCCTTTGGTCTCGGACTTGCCACATTCTCTTGTAGCTTCCTACTTGTAGCTTGTCTATTGCCGCCCAAACTACAGTTTTTAAAATTATTCTCAAATTTTCGGTTTCCTAATATTAGAATCGAATTAGTACTTTATATTAAAGATGAACAGAACTTTTCATTGAAAAATGTACAGTCGTTTTCAAGAAAATTGTTTTTAAGCGTTACTGTGAATGCGAAATTTCAAGCTCTTTTCACAGAAAACTATTAAGTTGTCGAAAAACTTCATATGAAGTCATTTCAAGCACTCCCAGTCACAAATGCAATAGTATAACAAATCGCTGGAAATGTGTATATTGAAGGCGATGGAGATATTTAAAAAAATTACATTTGTGTAATTTTTGAAAATACAAAAGAATACAGTAAAATTAATTCTGTCGTCTTAAACAGTGCAATAAGCACTATCCATACAAAATGTTTGAAGAAAAATTTGGAGTAGTTTTTGAGAAAATGACATTTGAGCGTTTCAAATAATGTAGAATTTTAAGCTGATTTTAACAGAAAGTTAAGTTTGAGTCCGTTGAGTTTTCGATAAACTTTATGTGACATTATTTAAAGCACATTTACTCATTAATAATGATGTAAACAAATTGCCGCCACTAGTGTTCCGCCAAAAATCGACCCGAGTGAAGAATAGCTTCGTTAATTGATTTTCTACAGACAGCGAAATTTAGCGGTAACGCTACGAATTGTTTAGTATTGTGGTACATAAAAGACTTTTGTTGGTACACGTTTGTTGATTTTTTCTGATTGTTTATCACTTCAGTTCCTTATCTTAAAAAGTGTATTATGTGAAAGAAAGAGTGTGTATTGTTCATATACTTAAGATGCACATTTGTAACAATTAGTACACACTATTGTATTTGTAATTTAAAATGTTTTAAATGACGTTTTTCGAAAACTCAAAAAAATTCTGTGGGAAAATGCTTTAAATTGCGAATTTACAGCAGCACGTAAGCGCCATTTTCTTAAAAACAGCTTCAAATTTTTCATAGACAATTGCCATTTATGACCAGGTTCTACTGTTCTTTAATATTCTTAAAATAATATTTCAGTTCTGCTATTAGGAAACCGGAAAATTCAGAACGTTTCAAAAAATGTATTTTGGGCGGCGACAGATGGCAGTTGGCAAGAACATTTGGCACATATACGGGAAA